GAATGTATATACAACACATGTGTTCATGCTAGAGGTTTGTAATTTGTTTCGTTTTTGACATATCACGTGATGATTTCGGTGTATTCTTTTTCAAACACCCTGTATATTATTTCAAATAAACTTACAACTTGAATACTCAACCAACTTCAATATGTAATATCTGATCAAAGAAAGAGAACTCTTTCAAACTCAGTATGTCTTTTGAAAATTACACAAATTATTTGCAAACATAAACTCTTTTAAAGTCACTATAAATACCGAAATATTCAAATATACTTTCTTATATTTGAACATACATTATAACAACATACCACCAAAGTATAACAGACATTCAATTCATCAAACACAAAAACATTTAAACAATTTAAAATACACTATTTACATTATTCGGACTATTGTCCTCATCTTTGTCGCCATATTTATTCCAAAGTTTCGGCCGTTGTACGGACGGCCTTCTTCAGGTGGGTGAAATGTCGAACTGAACCCTTTATTTCCCTCACTGGGGTAGATTGTTCTAGTTCCACGTGCCATGTTTTAATGGATGTCAGTTATCAGTTATATCCTGTTAATTCCCCTCCTGAGCCGACCAGGCATAGAAATGAATATGGGAACCAGTACTAAGGAGTGCCAGAGAAAAGCGATAATAACAACAAACTTTGCAATATGAGCTTTGGTAAAAACATGATGTGATAGAAAAAAATTGCAATATGGTAAAAATGGTTGCTGAGACATTAGGTTCATAATACCCAGAAATTCACAGTCACATGGCACAGTGGATAAAGGCGTTGGTTAGATCCAGTGACAGGAGCCAAAGAGTGTGAGTTCAATACCCGGTTATGGCAGTGGAGAACTGTCAGAGGGGAATTAACAGGAGATAACATGGCACGTGAAACTACCCATTCACACCTGACACCTGAAGAAGGCCGGAGACTATAAAGGCTGAAACTTTGTAATAAATATGGCGACAAAGATGAGGACAACAGTCCGAATAAAGTAAAAAGTGTACATAATACCTCATCTCAGAAATATAGACAGATACTGAAAGGTCGAAATGTTGTAATAAATATGGCGACAAAGATGAGGAAAATAGCCGGAATAATGTAAATAGTGTACATAATAATTGATATCAGAAATATAGACAGATACTGAAAGGTCGAAATGTTGTAATAAATATGGCGACAAAGATGAGGACAATAGTCGGAATAATGTAAGTAGTGTACATAATACCTCATCTCAGAAATATAGACAGATACTGAAAGGTCGAAATGTAATAAATAAGGCGACAAAGATGAGGACAATAGTCCGAATAATGTAAATAGTGTACATAATACCCGATCTCAGAAATATAGACAGATACTGAAAGGTCGAAATGTTGTAATAAATATGGCGACAAAGATGAGAACAATAGTCCGAATAATGTAAAAAGTGTACATTATAATTCATCTCAGAAATATAGACAGATACTGAAAGGTCGAAATGTTGAAATAAATATGGCGACAAAGATGAGAACAATAGTCCGAATAATGTAAAAAGTGTACATAATAATTCATCTCAGAAATATAGACAGATACTGAAAGGTCGAAATGTTGTAATAAATATGGCGACAAAGATGAGGACAATAGTCGGAATAATGTAAATAGTGTACATAATACCTCATCTCAGAAATATAGACAGATACTGAAAGGTCGAAATGTAATAAATATGGCGACTAAGATGAGGACACTAGTCGGAATAATGTAAATAGTGTACATGATACCTCATCTCAGAAATATAGGCAGAATTTTAAATTTTAAATTTGTCATATAATTAAAATACACAAATTGAATACCTAAATTGAACATTCAAGGAAGCGAAAAACTGCGAAAAAACGAAATTCTCTTACGGCAAAATTACTATACGGCGAAAATGATTACGGCGCAAACTCTTACGGCAAAAATTCCTGAGGCGTGTTATGCTACATCAAAAATGTTTACGGAGGACTGTTCCGGATACGTGTTGTTCGTCGAAGCACTTTCCATGGAAGTAACGATAGAGGGGCTTGCAAAATCTCGTCTCTGCGAAAGGGGTTGCATGGTGGGAAATACTTATTTTTTTTTACCAAAGAGAATGCAGCGACGATGTTGGTCTCAGTCGAGACTGAAAAGTCGAATAGATTGTTCTAACGAGCCTGTGACTGTTTGCACCGGGCTGTCGAACTCTCTGCTTTGGGCAGAGAGGAAACCGCACGAGGCATTGCCGAAGGACAGAGTATCGTCAGGGGAAGTGGACAGATCCGAACACGTATATGTCTGTTCTACGGGGGTTTTTTGGACGAGCCTACGCGTTCGGATGACCCACGTTAAACTCGGCCTTGTGCCACATCTACCGTCGTGGGTGGGGTCTGCTAAATATTAACAGTCGAATAGATTGAACACTGGGTCAACAGACACAGACCCACTAGTCATGTAATACTCTTCTGTTGTACTTACTGTTTAATATATATATATATATATCTGTAACACTTGTTCTGTTAATTCTTTAACCATTTACTTGGTCACAACAAAATCTCAATTAAATTTAATCAAATTTTTGGTGGGGCTGACATAATTATATTCATATCTATATAGTGCATTAATATATATATATATATATATATATATATATATATAAGAAATATAGTCTTAAGGTGTGCTATATTTATGGAATAAAGAGCTCAATATCAGAGATAGAGCGTGTGTAAATATAAAAGTGAACATAAAGTCAACACTTAGAGGCGACAGTCTGTTTCATGCTATATGCAATCGTCAGGCCAGCAATCCTTCCTTTATGCATGTTTCATTAAAAATGACAGACAAGGTACTACGGTTAAGCTTTTTATTTAATTTTCCTTGTGTTCGAACAATTTACTCTTTTTTCCTTGTGTTCGAACAAGAGCTTTCTATCTGGACAAAGGGTGGCCTGACGATTGCATATAGCATGAAACAGACTGTCGCCTCTAAGTGTTGACTTCTATGTTCACTTTTATATATATATATATATATATATATATATATATATATATATATATATATTAGCTTAAACGCCGCCCTATCCTGCAGAAGGATCTTGATTGGGCCTTCATCAAAATAGGTAGGGAGGTTTAGATGCGATAGGCAACAATAAACTACAAAAGAATCCAAAATTGATCGCTGTATTTATGTATTGCATTAGTATTGAAGCGTATCATGTAAAAATTCAAAGATAATTCTTCTGTTGCAACTTACTTCAAAGACAATTTGATGTACGTAGGTCCTTACTTTCCGTACAATATTATTTTTATTTCATGTTTGAATTTCGCTGGATTTCGCAATTAATTTCGATTATCCCCAAATCTCTTTTCAACTTATAACAATTGTTATCGTACAAAAATTCGTAACAATAATATATATATATATATATATATATATATATATATATATATATAGTTGTATATTTAGGCAGCAATCCTTCCTTTATGCATGTTTCATTAAAATGACAGACAAGGTACTACGGTAAAGCTTTTTATTTAATTTCCCTTGTGTTCGAACAAGAGCTTTTTTTCTGGACAAAGGGTGTAAGAACTGTCCACTCAAGTAAGCTGAAAAATCAAATCATCCTTGATAATAGCTAAAGGTATAGCCGAAAGCGCTCGAAATATAAAACATTTGGACACGTGTGTGTGTGTGTGTGTGTGTGTGTGTGTGTGTGTGTGTGTGTGCAATCTTCACAAACAGGTTTTCACACTAAAATGAACGTTGAAATAATATATATATATATATATATATATATATATATATATATATATATATATATATATATAATATATATATGCTAAATAAGAACTTGCTTGATGTCCATCAATGTGTCAGCTTGGATAAAAAAAGATATTTTTCCAAGAAAATCTTAATTTGGATTACATAGAGCCTCTGGGAATAGAAAGAATATTTCAGAAACTGAACAGAGTTGGTGACGTTGCGAATCCGATATCTAAAGGAAAAAAATATTTTTACGAAAATAGATAGATAGATAGATAGATAGATAAGAAATGCATCAGAAACTTTTCGAAATCACGTGATTCATATACAAGTGTGTTTCCTGATGTGTGTCTTTCCTATTTTTCATCTTACCCGACAACTCACATCCAATTCTGTGGGAGGTGGTTTGTAAGGTAAAGAGATTTCTTTTTTTTTTTTTTTACTTTATCTTTCCTTTCCTCGTTGGCGTGTGTGTCTATTTCAGTGCGTACACATATGGAGGCTTTTGAGTTAAGTGTCACGCGAAAAAGTGTGTCTGCCACTTGGCGAAGAAGTGTACGTATGGGGTTAAAATTTAAAAAAAAAAAAAAAATGGAAAAGACACCAAAAATGTGTTTCCGTCTAAGCGAGCTGTTTTTGAGCATGTCGTCCTCATTCCTGGTGGTATGTGAAGGGTTGCAAGTCTTTGAATGAAGATTCCGGGTGGCGGGTGAGCGGCCTGAGTTGGAAAAGGTTAGAAGCGGTGCACGTGACCGGGTGAGGGAAACTTTCGAAAATTTCGGGTCGTCTCCGCCTCCCTCATCGTCTCTGACATTAACACGGATCTCAGTAGAGCTGGGTTGAGTGTGCGGCGTTGAGGTTGCCATGAGATCCTTCTGTTTATCTGAAGAGAACGCCCAGACCGTGCCCGGTGAAAATAGCAGCCAATGGGAGATATAGGAGGTTTTTGATTGACATCGAAAAAAAAAAAAAAAAAAAGAAAGAAAGAAAGAAAGAAAGCAAATAAACCCGAGAAGTAAAAGAAGAAAAAAAGAGAAAGAAAAACAAACAACTATTTACATAAATAGACCAAAAAAAAAGAAAAAAAGAAAAAAAGAAAAGGGATACAGAAGAAGATATGTATTTATCGAAAGGGGATGTCTTCCTTTAACAAGCGCGAGGGGCGGTGTTGCTGCTGGGGATACGAAATTTAAAAAAAATACAAAAGAAAGAAAGAAAGAAAGAAAGAAAGAACGAACTAAGTAACATATGCTTTTCTCACTGTCTCTCTCTCTCTACATTTCGTATTGGCTTGCTTTGACTTTCTTCACATGTTGTTTTTTTTTTTTTTTTTTTTTTTTACTATCACCCACCCACCTCTCCATGCAATCAATTTCCTTCTCTCAAATGTGGGGGCTGTGATATTCGTGTTGTTGTTGAATTCATGTAAAAAGAGGCAGGTTCATACACACACGAATAGCCAATTTTGTTTTAGATAATATCAGTATTTATCTCTCAGTCTGCCTATCTATCTATCTATCTATCTATCTATCTATCTATCTATCTATCTATCTGTTGTGGCCAAGTATATGGTTAAGAAATAACAAAACAAGAGGTTGCAGCTAAATAGTGTATTAAACAGTAAATACAACAGAAGTGTGTTACGCGACTTGGGAGTGTGTATCGGTTAACCAGTGTTCACTCTATATAACTGTAAAGGAATGTATGTAGCACAAGACCGAGTTTACCGTGGGTTCTCCAAGCCCGTAGGCGCAGCCAAAAAATATTCCCTTAGAACCCGCATAAACGGGTTCGGGATCTGTCTACCTCCCCGGACGAAACTTTGCTCTTCGGCAAAGCCTCGTCCGGGTTCCTCTCTGCTCGAGGTACAGTGTTCGACAGTTGAACAGTCTATATAACTGTTCCCCACAAGCTTACTTTCCTACTAACTTTATAGCAAGTGGAAGAGTCGACAATAGCCTTATTAGAAGGAAGACACCACAACACGATCTAAATTTGCTCGTATCTATCTATCTATCTATCTATTTAAATTTGCTTGTATCTATCTATCTATCTATCTAAATTTGCTTGCATCTACCTAAATTTACTCGTATATATCTATCTAAATTTGCTCGTATCTATCTATCTATCTATCTAAATTTGCAAGTATCTATCTATCTATCTATCTATCTATCTATCTATCTATCTATCTATTTAAATTTGCTTGTATCTATCTATCTATCTATCTAAATTTGCAAGTATCTATCTATCTATCTATCTATCTATCTATCTATCTATCTATTTGCTCGCATCTACCTAAATTTACTCGTATATATCTATCTAAATTTGCTCGTATCTATATATCTATCTAAATTTGCTCGTATCTATCTATCTATCTATCTATCTAAATTTGCAAGTATCTATCTATCTATCTATCTATCTATCTATCTATCTATCTATCTATCTATCTCGGTCTGTTCATTATCTATGCGTCCAAAATTTGTAAACATTTAAAACTGCATAATTGCCTACATTCGCAAATCAAAAAAAAAAAAAAAAATGAAATAAAATTCTAACAAAATCAATTATGAATACTGGACAAATGTTTTAAAATATTTAAAGTAGATCGTATAAAATATCGTGGTTTGTACTACTATTTTTAATACTTATACAAAAAAAAAAAAAAAAAAAATCCCGGCCATATCTTAGCCAATTTTGTTTTAGATAATATCATACCGTGCCCGGTGAAAATAGCAGCCAATGGGAGCGATAGGATGTTTTTTCTTGACATCGAAAAAAAAAAAAAAGAAAAAAAGTTACTTAGTTTTAGATATTATCAGTATTTATCTCTCAGTCTGCCTATGTATCTATCTTATTTATCTGTCTATATGGGAACCATATAGATTGATAGATAGATAGATAAGGCTATATGATGGTTCCGTATAGGATACAGGTTCGATTCCTGTCGGAGGACGAATATTTTCTATGAAAATTTCTCGGACATTCAGGCCGGTAAATGTTACTAATACTGTTTATTATAAAACAGAGCGTTTACTTAAATATTTGTATCTATAAAAAGAATGTATAAACATAGAAATGTCTTAAAATAATTGTCGTACTTTGTCCAATTCATTATATATATATATATATATATATATTATGGACTATTTGATACTACTATCACTTTTATATTTGAGTCGAAAAAAGATTCTACTGAAGGAAATTTTCTTTTCGACAGAAATCGTACATATCTCTAAGTCTACCATTTGTCCATCTTTCAATATTTCTGCCATATGGTCCGGTGCACCTGCATTTTCCTCGAGCTTCTTGGTAAGATCCAAAGAAGAAACATCAATATTATTGGTTCTGATCTGGCGGCTCAGCCTCTGTCACTTTCCCACCGCCGTAAGGTTTCCCTTTCGTGCCTTTTTTTTATACGTTCACGGTAATTGCTCGGATGACCTCTTCAGTATATTACGCATGTAAGCGCAGTATTAGACTGGTTGCGAGATCTTATCAATTCACACGTGAGCTAGCTAGATATAGCCGTAACTTCTAGGCTAACAGCTTCTTATCCCCCATCTATCTCTTGTGGAACTACGTCATTGCTCCATGCTTTCCAACCAACTTTAATTTAAACTCAATATCAAGCGTTACCTATTCGTCTGATTGCTTTTTTCTCTTTCTCGACATTACTCATGTTTCTGTTTCTAATTCCTCCACGCCCTATAACACCGTGCATACACGTTGCTGTACTGTCATGCTTGGGGCGATGCCGATTAAAAGAAAAATATACGTCCTTTTTTGCTCAGTAATTCGATTTTTAACCGAATTATATATATCGTCTGGGTCATACTCTTTTGAGGAGGATTAAAGGCTTATCACTTCTTTTCCGGTCGTCTTCAACTCTATCCTTCTAGATTCTCCATCTAAACACTGGAATATTATTTACTATATCATTTATATTATTCGGACTATTATCCTCATCTTTGTCGCCATATTTATTACAACATTTTGGCCCTTCAGTATCTGTCTATATTTCTGAGATGAGGTATTATGTACACTATTTACAATATTCGGATTATTCTCCTCATCGTCCGAATAATGTAAATAGTGTACATATTACTTCATCTCATAAATATAGACAGATACTGAAGGGCCGAAACGTTGTAATAAATATGGCGACAAAGATGGGGACAATAGTCCGAGTAATGTAAATAGTGTACATAATACCTCACCTCAGAACTATAGACAGATACTGAAAGGCCAAAACGTTGTAATAAATATGGCGAAAATGATGGGGACAATAGTCCGAATATTGTAAATAGTGTACATAATACCTCATCTCAGAAATATAGACAGATAATGAAAGCCCGAAACGTTTTAATAAATATGGCGACAAAGATGAGGACAATAGTTCAAATGATGTAAATAGTGTACATAATACCTCATCTCAGAAATATAGACAGATTATGAAAGGCCGAAACGTTGTAATAAATATGGCGACAAAGATGAGGACAATAGTCCAAATAATGTAAATAGTGTATGCAAAGGTCGGCTTTCAATTGCAGTCTGCATGAAACTTGTCCTACCAATGTAGAGTGTGTTCCAAAAGTCACATTACCGGTGAAAAACCTTGTACATTTTAAATCTGTTTATCAAATGGAATCATGTTTCTGTATGTGATAATATATTATTGTGGGGAAAATTGCGAGAAAATGGCCTACCTCGGAAACGCCCACGAATCTGTGCGACGTGCAAACTCCGGTTGCTCAACGGCTAAAGAATCAAAATGGCGGCGCCCATGTTTTATGCCAGGCGGTCTCGGACAGTTAACGCGAAATCTCGTTGTCTCGTCATTCGCATGCAAATCGTGGTCGGTCCTCGGCTGTATAAACAGGTGCGTTTTTGTCTCTGAGGATTGTGTTTTTTTTTTTTTTTGCTCATGAGAAGATTGGACGTGTGACACTATTTTGTCGTTTACCTTCCCCGCTTTTCCTATCTGCTACTATCAGTTGAGTCGTTGCTTTACAACAACAGCATTGAACTCGTTAAATCTCCGTAAACAATAACAATAATTATTAAGAAAAGTTAGTGGTCGATCATGGAAGATCATGTGAAGCAAATTTGACCTGGTTGGTATTTTACAAGTGTACGCTTTCTGCCAATTCTTGCGTGACTTTTGGGGCAACCTGTATATTTATTATTCATACATAATTACACCACTTTTGTTATACATAGAGGACCTGCCAAATTTGATACACACAGGAAAGATTGAAATTAAGCGTGCCAAAGGAAAGCCAAGTAAACCCCACCTGGCGGACTTGAGCGAACACATAACGGAACAGGGTTTGGGGTTAATAGCTAAATGACAAAGGTAATTAAAGATCTACAATGTACAGGAAATTGTGGAGGGCTATGAATACGACACATAGAAGATGGAGAAGTACATGCTAAAACATAACTAAATATTAAAATATATATATATATATATATATTAAAAATTTTTATACCGTTGTCTGTCAGGACAAAAACTTAATAATCTAGTGTCTTGGTACACATATAAAATGGCGCGCCACAACACTTAACAATTTACAAAATAAAACAAAGATATTCAACAAAGAAAAGAAAAACAATCAACGTATATTTAAAAAAAAAAATAATGGTACTCAATGCCCTGTTCTACTTGCGACACATCAGCTGTGATCAGGATATCTCCATGGTCGGTGACAGCAAATTACTTTATTTCAGTCTTCAGTGTTTTGTGATTGCTTCATTTTTTGCCATTTCTTTTCTATTCTAACAGTAAATTAAGTGCAATAGAATCTTCAAAGCAACATTTTTAATTCAAAATCCCTGTTCTCTTCTGAAAAGTTTTATCTTTAATCCTATTACTTGTAATGGTGGGCCATATATATATATATATATATATATATATATATATATATATATATATATATATATATATATATATATATATATATATAAATTAATTGATTTAAAATATAGAATTTTTTCCATTTACAGTTCTAACCAAGTTTCAAAAATGAAAGCAAAAAGCCCCGAATGTAATTTTGTAATTAAATTTAAGACATTAGTTCCATTTCATCCTCAAGCGAATTTTGAAACATGGTTCGAACAGTGTAGCGGAAAAAATATTTTAAATCAATTAATTTACAATATTAATGCTCTGTAAATTTACATCGAACACTACTTTGTAAAAATAAAAATATCTATAAGAACACCGGATTATATATCTTACTGTTCTTTCTTTTCATATATATATATATATATATATATATATATATATATGTGTGTGTGTGTGTGTGTGTGTGTGTGTGTTGAAAAGAAGAGAGATACCGCAAACGTTTTTGGTTGTAATGTAGATTTTTTTTTTTAAAACTATAAAATAATTTATTTTTCCATAATTTTACTACACGTGTTTCTGGTCTTGCGAACGTCATCAGGTAAAGGGTGGAGATTTACGCATATTATTAAAAATAATTAATTTTTTTCTCCTTTATGTTTTTCGATGTTAAATATTCTCGATATGAGACATTCTTTTTTTATGTGTTAGCAATCCGAATTTCTTTCTTGAACTTGCAATGAAGAGTACTGCGTGAAGTTCAAGAAAGAAAAACGGCTTACATAAAAGAGTTTGATTCAAAAATCGTACGACTCATACAGCAATCGCTATCACTTAACTTAAAATATGTTTGCCCTTCCTTGCCATTTAAGGAATGCCCTTTGCCGTGCTTATGTTGCTAATTTATAATTTACTAAAGCTTCAAAAATTGTTTATGGACAAGATGGATGGCACAATATCATTATTACTAAATCATTGTTCCATCAAATAAGACCTTCAAAGCGATGTTATACTGAATAATTTAGCTATATTATGATATATGTTACTACAGCATGGCCCGGCGTTGCCCGTGCTTGATTCAAAATCGTACGACTCGTACAGCAATCGCTATCACTTGACTTTAAATAATTTTGCCCTTCCTTGCCTTTAAAGGAGTGCCCTTTGCCGTGTTGATGTTGCTACATGCCTTACTTCTTGCCTATCTCACATTGCGAATATTTTCTAAGCTCTATACTTAACATTAAATCTGTTACGAAAAAAGAACTAAACAAAATGAACACAAAACGATCAGCTTTAAAAAAGAACTCGTAACTGGAAAAACCGAATGAAAAAAGAATGTTAACAACAAATACTTTTTCACACCCAACACAGTTCTGCGGAATCAGAATCAACGTTGAGTTTAAGCAAGCGAATGAGCCAATTGGAGTAAAGTGCCATGCAGATTTAAATTTTTCCCACTTGTGACGAATGCAGCCATCGATTTTTTTTTGCATGCTAGCATGCTAGTTAACATTCGTGTCAGTCAGCTGTTGGCTCTTACGCTGGCCAATAGAATCTTTCTGCCTATTCGTGGCAGCCAGCTATAGGCTCGCACTCTGGACAGTAGAAAATGGCCGCAAACTATATGAAAAGCCGTAGAAGCATGAAA